TAGTGGATATATTGGTGAGTCTGGAAACAATTTTAGATTTTAGTGTTTAATAACCATAAACAAACAATTTCAATAATGATTCCATGGTTTCAAAACAACCCTTATTAGGAGTTTTGTAATCAGAACCCCATAGCTAAAAACACTTAACACAATCAATCAGGACACACATTAGAAAACTGCAAATGTTTATTAATAGATTCGATTTTACCCACATAAAAAAATCTATTTAGTACATTTTCTTAGATTCAAAAAAAAGAAACATATTGATTTTACAAAATTAAATTTAAATTGGGGTTGAATAGGGACTTCTAGGTGTTTTAAAATCTTTTTATAAATATTTCCAATAGCTAGTTTTAACAATTTCTTTAGATATAGTAAAAAATATTTTTTAAAAAATATTTATGACAGATACCCATGGTTTAACGTAATATTATTATTTATTTGAAGGAATAGTCTGGAAACAATTTTAACATTTTAATAACCATAAACAAACAATACGTCAAAACAACCCTTATTCCCCATAGCTCTCTGAACAGAATCAATCAGGACACACATTAGAAAACTGCAATGTTTAAACATTTAATTTTATAGTGGATATATTTAAAAAAAGAAACATTTTTAATTTTAAAATTAAATAACATAAATTAGGGTTGAATAGGGACTTAGGTGTTTTAAATCTTTATAAAAATTTCAATAGGACAATTTCTTTAGATATAGTAAAAAATATTTTTAAAAAATTTATGACAGTTATTTATAGGAATATCTGAACATGACGTTCCAAATAAATACTTTAATTTTAAATAAAACAGTTATTTCTATGAAAAATTGAGGACAATTTGAAATATCAAATATATTATAAATAAATAAATACTTTCATAAAATAAAACATTATAATTTTTAATTTGAAACTTTTTTATATATACATATTATATATATATATATATATATATATATATATATATATATATATATATATTAGCATAATGATCATAAATAATTCTATGCACAACACACATATCATCCAATTCTTGTTATTAACCAAGATGGTCAAAAGTAGTTTAACTAAATCAGAACTTTGGACAATTTATCCAGGATTTTGATTTACAACATCCTATTTGATATTGGAAATAAAATAAAAAATTAAACAGGCAAACTTTGGTTGAATTTAACAAAACTTGTTAAAATTAACTCTTGCTGCTTAAATATGCACACGCACATTATTAGGGATACTTTGAAAGTAATGTTTTTTTTATTTAACTCCACTGAAACTAACAAATACAGAGAGTACAATGACACTATTGGATAGAGTCTGTATTCAGCAACAAAACAATAGTTTTTTTTTCCAGTCATTACTATTGACTAGACATCAACATGGTGTTCATCATTATGTGGATTGATGGTTGTACAAGGCTGTCTGTTGTACATGTTGTACATGTTGATGCCATCACTGCTAAAATTACATTGTCCATCACCTAAATGTGCTCACATCCACTGTCTGGTCTCTATAAACATTCAAAAAGTGTCAATGAATGTTAATGGATGAAATTTTTTCTGCTTTGAGGAATTCAATGATGTATTTCTGCTTCATTGTCATTTTAATGTCAGACTTATTTGAAACAAGGTTAAAAAAAAAAAAAAAATGTTCAACCTCAATTACCATATTAATATTACAAGTGTAATGAAATAGAAGGTAATAATTTTGGAGTGATCCCCCTATGTTTTTTTTGACTTTTTATTTTTTTTTAAAATAAAAAAGAAAGCAAAGCAATCTGCGATGATGCACGAGGTAGTATTTTGTACTTAGCAATACTAGGTTATATAAAAAAAAGAAAAAGGATTTAAAAAAAATTGTTTCCATATAAAGTACATCTTTTAAAATGTATTTCATTTATCTTGGTAAAAATGGCTGATGAGTTAATTATATAAATTAATATTACTTAAAAGATAAAGAGAATCTGGCTAGTTATCCTCATATTTGACCAAGTAGGAAATTAAGATTTAAAAAAAAAAAATAAAAAAAGAAAGAAAAAAATTATTCAAATGAAAATAAGCTGGAATTAATTCAATACATTAGCACCTTCCACAAAAAACAAAAAAAAAAAAAAAAAAAAAGAAAAAGAAAAAAGAACACAAACAATTGTATGACAAATGAAAAAAAAAAAAAAAAAAAAAAAAAAGAAAAGAAAGAAATATAAACCGGTAAAGTATGAAGTTAGTTAACTAAAACAACAAATATTAATTTATCAGCATTGTAAATGAACAATAAAAACAAGTGGTAAGTGTATAAAGTATAATAATGGTTTAGTTTTTTTGCTGTTTTTGTATTTGATAAAAGAATGTTTTCAGCAAAAACAATTTTGAATTTGTGTATAAAATGGACCAGGTAATAATGGAAGATGCAATCACATTTTCAATAAAGAAAAATACTCAAATAATTTTTATCTGTAAAATAAAGTTATATATATATATATATATATATAACACTTTCAGTCTTGAATATTTCTTGGTTGTGGTATCAGATTGTCTAGGTCAAGGTACGTGGATGTGTGTACATGTATTTATCGGTGTCTATGTGTATAGAAAATGCATGCACATTTAATTGTGTATGTATGTGTGTGTTCGTTTTTTTTTGTTTTTTTTTTTATAAAGGGCTGTGGAGATGTTTCCTGTCTCGTCAGTTTTTTGTGTGTGTATATATCTAAATATGTCTGGGTGCTTATGTATTATAATCTGAGTGTGTTTGATTTGTTTTACGCGAGAGGTTAGCTCCCCACTCACACACTCGGGATTAAAATGTATACATTTTGTTGGGAAGACCAGCTGATATTAGCATCTATTCTAATGTAATTTCAATGAAGAAATAAATTGAATAACATGTATTTTTTCTTTTATCCTCAGTAATTTTATAATTTTAAACTTAATAGAGATTAAATTTAGATTTTAAAATTGGTAATTTTTACTTTTAAAATCAAATTTTATCATATAATTTAATACTTATTGGTTAGAATAAATTCTATTTTAGTATAACCCTAACTTTAAAGCTCTTAATAGCTATTATAACCTTACTTCGTTGTCAAGTTTTTTGAATTCTCCTATACTTGTGTTTTGATTGGTAATTCTAGCTTTTGTAACAGCGTTTTCCCCTTGCGAAGGATCATTAATTAATTTGAAACTTTTAAAACTATTTATTTTACATTCAACATTATCACTTGATAAAACACCGGAGGTGTTCAAACAAAATGGCTATATTTGTAGTGATTTTATAACATATTTATGTTATAATTTTTAAATAAATAATTATATCTGCTCTACTCTGTATTGAGCACTCTTTTAAGAATAGTAATTTTTGGTTATTGGAATTTATTTCGTATACATCAATCATATACTTGGAGATGAAAGTATATAAGATTTGTGTTTAATCAATACAACAGAATTATAAATAGAATCATCTTTATATACTCAAACATATCAAATAATTAAAAGAACCCCAATTTACTGTTTCCATCAAGGTCACAGGTTGTTAGCATTTATACAAAGAGGTGTTGAAATGTTCTCAGCCCAAACCACTTAAAGTTTTTTTAATCACTTAGTTGGACCAAGAAGTTTTCAACAGCCCTTATGATTATTATGATTATTACAGTTTAGCTTCACAACTGAAGATTAAGGGGGTGGAGTTATCCATGTCAATTGCCCATCCACTATTAGCCAGAGAAACTTGTATGGAACATATAAATTAGCTCTGAAAAGAATGCAGAAAACAATATTGCTGTTATCAAAGTGATTTATTTAGTTCAGTGAAGACAATGAAGAACCTACAATATTGCATGAAATTGTATGTAAGAACTAAAAAGATTCTTGCTGCAAAATATATGGTTAAGCACATTAAACTAAACTTAAAATTAATGAATTTCAAGACGAAATACATAAAAAAAATTAAAACCATTTTTGCTAAAAACAAGCTAAAGAATTTTGATTTGTTCCTATGTCAACCCTTCAGATATTGAAGATTTTACAAGTACATTACAGGATTGATCCCAACTGATATTCTATCATATTTGTAGAAAGTAGATATCAAGAGTTACAGTTCATAACGCCTCTATCTACAAGGAATGTAAAAGTTCAGGTTAATCCCCCCCCAAAAAAAACCCCATTAATTCCAATGCCTCTGAAAAGATAATTTGCATTCTAGTTAGTGTTGTGGCGGTATCAATATCTTAAAAATAAACAAGCAAAAAATCAGATCAAAATTTAAATAATTTTCTCTAATTCAGTGCTAGTTATGATCAATAAATTGTAATGATTGACTAAAAATAGGTAGCACTGGAGATTATTAAAAAATATTCTGTTGCATTGATTTTTCTCTGAAAAACAGTGATATTGTTTTGGTGGAATTTTATTGATATATTTAGACTGTAAAAGGAAAGGCTTAATATATTTGGGTCCCAAGCCATCAGCTAAATTCAATGCCAATAATATATTAACAAACACCCATATATATATATATATATATATATATATATATATATATATATATATATATATATATATATCAGTAGTGTCTTGATTCAAATCTTCTTACTAAATTTTAAAATGATTGATGAAATGCTCCAAATTAAAATGAAAATTGAAATTTTTTTTCAAAGGTTTTAATATATTTGTAAATGTAAAGTCCCAGTATTGTTTTTTTTATCCCAAATTCAAATTTGATTTTTTTTCCTGGTGGTCAACACTAAAAATGAATTAACATTCATTAATAGACTTAATTTTCATATGAAAAAGTAAAAATTTGATGGTTTAAATAAAGAAAAAAATAAAAATCCAGATGAATAGAAATTTTACACAAAATATATGCTGGGGGAGGAAACAAAACCTTTAATAAGACAGACAATTATTTTACCATGAAGCTTATCAGGAATCTGTGAACAAATAATCGTTGAATTAAAGCTGGATTGGATATGGTAAAATTCTAAAGGAAAACTTGAAGGAAAACCTATGCTGTCTTAAGCTCGCAGTGTCCGCAGTCGTCTTAGAGGTCTGGGCAAGTGGACATTCCGTGATGGTTTTCGTTGAGAAGGTTGAATAGGTCCAGATTCACTTCCAAACTCTTTCTCATAGATCTGTGGGTAGAGCCGCTGAAACTAAAAAAGATAAAAAAAAAAAAAAATTACTTCTTGAATGTTTTTATAAAATCATTCAATAATTGGTTCTAAAAAGTTTCTGCTTCTTGTGAATTCATTTGCATGCTGGAAAGAGTTGAGCCATATCTATGCCATCATGGGCATTTGTATTAAAGTCAGATACTGCTGCATTGTTAAAAACATTCTTTCCTACATAATGTTATGATAATGGCCACTCAGCTCCGAACACCTTCAACTATAGCAAATGCCCCTTTTGTATAATAGCATTATTAAAATCCAAGCAGACTGATTTATACTTTTAGTAGTTGAATTTGAATAAATGACAATTTGTAAAATGAAAAAAGAAAGGATTAAAAAGATCAGCTGAAAGACTATTCAGGAGTTTTGCACTCAAGTAGATTTTTTATTTTTAGGTAATAACAAAATGTGGTTTCCAGTTAAAGATATTAACAAAACTTAATTTTAATGACAGAAAGATTTGTAAATTTTGTAGCAATGGCATGAAAAGTCTTTTATTCCTCAAGACAAGATCAAAAAAAAAAAAAAAAAAAAAAAAAAATGATATATATAAACATTAAAGTCAATAACATATTTTCACTTAAGATAATTATTAACAGTAAAAATAAGTTATAGATAGAAGGTTATGTTAAAAATGTCAGATTTTTGGATGGTCTTGAAATATAAACAACTTATTAACCAATAAAATGCCAGTGTCCATTAAGTGAAAAATATGTGGTTAAGTTGGTATGAATTTTTTTGACATTCATTGGTGGTTTGCCTCAAATGAGATTTCATTTTAACTCCTTTATACAATAGATTGTTGGTTATCTGATTGATCTTAATATGTTTAGGCACAAAAGGAGGTTTATATTTAACTTGCTGTGCACTAAATGCTGTTATGTAATATCTGTCTTTTCTGTGACTAATATTTGCTTTCAATTGATAATTTTTAGTCCGAGAAATCTCTGATTGTTCTATTCTTGGTCTACACATGTCAGTCAAAAATGAGTGGGTGGGTGCTGAATGCATTAAATAGAAAAAGGGTGTTTTGGCAAGGAACCAAACCTCAACATAAGTTGGACACAAGGCTTGCTCAAGGTAGGAAGGAAGGAAGGAGAGAAAGAGAGAGAATACTTAACTAAAAAACTTGATCACAGCTATTATACTACATTTTCAAAATCTCATAAATCCCAAATTAATAAAGCAGAAATAGATTTGTCTTATAAGCTTGATTTTCATTTTGCTATTAAAAAAAAAAAATTATATATATATATATATATATATATATATATATATATATGTGTGTGTATATATATATATATATATATATATATATATAAATAAATTTTTTTAAAAATATGATTCCATCATAACACAGAAATATCTAAATATTTTTGGTATTTAAAAGAAACAAATAAAACACCAAAAGTAAAATGGAAAATAATAAATAGAACAAGAACTTGTAAAACCTGGGATGACCCATGCCCTTTATGCCTACATGAAAAACTATACATTATTAAGTTTCTAAAAAACAAAAATTTATTAAATCAAAGAAATGAGAACGTTTTTTTTTGCAAACATCACCAAATATTTGTCTTAAATAATTAGTATTTTATAAATGGACGGAAAAAAAAAATAATAATCTATTAACAAGTACAATTAAAATAGGTTTAAAAACACAACCCAATCATAATCTTAAAGCCCCCTTTAAGAAATCAACGAAAAAAACACAAAAAACTAACAGAATGACAACATCAATCAGTTAGAGTTTTAGCAGGCAGTCGGATAAGATTAGCCATTGTAGCCAGACAAAAAACCCCAACCATACCATACAAAACTCCAAAAACTTGACATATAACAAAAGCCCCTACTTCAATCAAAGCAGTGACCCCCTTGATAATGAAAAACAAACCCTAGAACATACCCACCACTTTAAAACTATAAATGAGTAAAACATTCCATAGCATAGTTATTCCAAACATAGCCTGAGGATGAGACTCCCACTCGGTAGTTAGGGTTTAATATTGAAATTAAACCTGAATACTGCTGACCAGTTATGAAACAGTAATTTCTGTGTCGTGATAGAATCATATTTTTAAAAAATTATTATAATCTAGGCTCTACTTCTGTATTGAGCACTGTTTTTAAAAATAAAAATACTAAAGAACTTCGGATCATCAATCTAACAGTTCCTTCCTATTATATTAATATATACACATACATATATGTATGTTAAATATAATAAAGACAAAACTGTTCAAAATTTGGATTTTTTTAATTTTTTTTATTAAGCTATTCCTTGATCTAAGCTTTTGGCTCACATGAGCCATCTTCAGAGGTGGTTATACGGACATTTAAACAAAGATATTCACCATCAAAGATGATATTCTGTTATGCTGACATAGAAGATTACTATGCAACGATAATGGTCGCAAAATAGCAGAGGTTGTAAATTCATTTGTGATGTAGTTCTATGACGTCGTACCATGTGAGAGAACAAAATATTAACAATAGAACTAATGTTAAGCTCATCATCTATTATAAAATATTTAAAACAATTGGCCTCATAGTCTCTAATAACCCTACAACAACACAACTAAATCCTCTACAAAAACCAATGTAGCGTATCAATTTACATGTCTGTTCAGAGATTGTATCTCTGATACCAATAAACACACTACATATACTGGTTTTACTACAACTACACTCACCCGTAGACTTACCTGTCATCTTTCTGATCTTAGTTCTATTAAACAACATTTCTTAGAAAAACATAACCATGTACATAACATTAGACATATATTAGTTGATAACACAACAATACTCACACATACACACAGTAAAAAGAACCTTCAGATATTAGAGGCCATCTACATTAAAACAAAGCAACCCACACTCAACAAAATTACATTTCAAACTAGTCACAACACATCTGCTATTCTGCAACTGTTATCGTCGCATAGTAATCTGTCAACATAACAGAATATCATCTTTGATGGTGAATATCTTTGTTTAAATTCCCATATAACCACTCTGAAGATGGCTTATGTGAACCAAAAGCTTAGATCAAGGAACAGCATAAAAAAAATATATCCAAATGTTGAAAAGTTTTTGTCTTTATTTTCTCACAAAATTATAGCAAATATACAGAGTTTAAAACAGCTCATGACCAAATATAATTTTTTGATGTCAATGAACACTTGTTGCCACTTCTGTAATGCCAATGAATACTTGTTGTCACTTTCGTAATGCTCATTGTAGTAGAGACTTTGTAATCGCAGATATAACTATAGTATGCCGTTGAACAATGCTGGTGTAAGATGCCTTCAAATAGCATTCACACTAATAATACTTGCTCGAATAGTAATCTGAATAGAGAAATAGTATAGTGAATAGAGTAGAGAATAGCAGTCCATATAGTAATAGAGGATAGTCTAGAAATGCAGATCTGAATAATAATAGAGGACAGAATAGAAATAGTGATCAATTAGACACCATGCTACATTCCATATATGCATTTCCTCTATGGTCACATGGTTTACTTAATTCAATAATGGGATCACCTGTGTTTGCTCTCTGGCGATCTATGTTCAAACAAGTGTTGGCAGTGACACTTTATTCCTATATAACCCCGCCTCTTTCAGATTTCCTCTAAAGCCTGTATTTCTTCAGCTTCGGGTCAATATTCAAATGTTCCGTTGCTGTTCTTTATCTTTGACTGTACCTCCTTGGTTCACTAATTTCTGGTTGTGTGGGTAAGTCAAACATGTCATACAATATTTCCATCAGTACCTCTTTTCGTAGACTTACTAAATCAGTGAATCTCTGTTTTAACTGATTACGGTGTCGCTTATGTTCCCACCTTTGTCCCTGTACCATAAATGCCATTTTGCCAATCCATTTTTTTTATAATGTCATCTTCTCTGAATTCTTTTCCACATTAGTACATTTTAAAAAACACTATCACCAGGTTTAAAATATTATTTTGATTCATTGATGTTCTCGCCTTCCGTTCTGATAGTAATTTGTTAAATACGGACTTAATCTTCCTGGTGAACATCAATTCTGCAGGCGACATTCCAGACACGGTGTTCTGGTTTGGTGTTATTCTGTAAACACTCAAAAATTGTTGTAGCATTATTTCCTCCGACTTAGTTCTATTAAACAACATTTCTTAGAAAAACATAACCATGTACATAACATTAGACAGATATTAGTTGATAACAACTTTTTTTTAGTGTCCTTTTAAAAGTATCGACAAACCGTTCCACTTGTCCGTTTGATCTTGGGTGATAAGGGGGAGTCGTAATATGTCCTATTGCTAATGATTTGCAAAAAACCTTAAATTCACTAGACGTGAATTCAGTCCCATTATATGAAATGATAGAGTCAGGAACACCAAACCTTGCAAAAATCTTGCGTAAGAAATTAATCGTTATCATGGTAGTCGGTCTTCTACATTTGATTATTTCTGGCCACTTAGTATGTGCCATTTAATGGTCTTGCAAAATCTATATGCATTCTGGACCATGGCATATTGGTTTTCAGCCAAGGTTGAATTTTGATAGGCGGTGACTTCACTGCCAGAGTACAACCTCTGCATGATTTCACTAAATTTTCGATATCTTGATCCAGTTTGGGCCAATAAGTATAACACCTCATTAAGGATTTCATTCTAGAAATTCTTGGATGTCCTATGTGAAGTTCCTTCAGTATACGTTTTTGCAACAATGCTGGTATTACAATTCTTTCTACGTACATAAATACATCATTACATAATGAAAATGCATTATTTCCAATAATATTTTTTTCCTTTAAATCTTAATTGCTTCTCCATCTCCATTATAAATTCGCCTTTTTTTTTGCCTTAATTCTTATTTCCTCCAATGTTATGAGCAGTTCTCTTACAGTATTGTATAGTACATTATTAATTTCACTTTCGGCCCTTATCACCGCAATTACTGTGTCTTCAAATGGTTGGCAGAATTTTGGTATTAGTCTAGACAATCCGTCTGCATGATTTAATTTTTTGGATGGTAGAAACTGTTTTATAATTATAATTCAATAGGATAGTTCCTTAGCACTGCAGTCTATTTGCTGTATGTTTGGGAACTTTTTTTTTTTTTTATATCCATATATGAACAATAATGGATGATTGTCTGGCTGTAGTATGAATTCTCTACCATGTATGAATTTGTGAAACTTTTTTATAGCAAATATGATGGTCAATGCTTCCTTTTCAATCTGGCTGTAGCTTTTTTCAGCTGTAATCAATGATCTTGTAGCATGAGCTATTAGTTTAGTTGTCCCATCCTCATATTGTGTAGTATCACTGCTCAGATACCTGAATCACTTGCATCTGATGCAGCCACAATCTAATTTAAGGTCAAAATGAGCTAGTGACAAATCCGATGTTAAGATTTTCTTGATCTCTTTGACATTTATCTGTACAATCCCATTTAACATCTTTCTATAGCAGGTTATTCAAGGGTGCTCTTAATTTGTGCATGTTTGGTGTGTATGTATATATATATATATATATATATATATATATTAGTAGTAATTAGCAAACTTTAAAAATGCTTGTAACTTTGTTACATTTGTTGGAGTGGGCATGTTCTTTATTGTTTGCTCTTGAAGAATCTGGTCATCTACAGTTTTCATCAATAATTTGCCTTAGATATTTAAATATGGACATAAACAATTTGCATTTTCTTCATTGATCTCTGATTCTCTCAAATACTTTTTTTTTGTTACATCTTCAACATGTTGCTTTCGGGTCTTAGTTAATACATCATTCTTAATACATCATCCAAATATGCTTGAGCACAATACAAACCAACAAGCATGGTATCCATTATCTGTTGGAATATGCTTGTTGCTACCTTTATACCAAAAGGAAGTGGATTGAATCTGTATAACCCTCTATGTGTGTTAATTGTTAATAGTTTTGAACACTCTTTGTCTACTAGTACTTGTAGATAAGTGTCTGACAGGTTCAATTTAGAAAGAAAATTTACCTCCATTCAATTTGGCAAAAATTTCCTCTGGACTTGGTAATGGGTAGTTGTTTTAAACCGTTATTTAACCCTGTTGAAAAATCAGCATATACTTGGATTTTATTATTCCTTTTTTTAACAGACTGTTGGTGATACCCATCTGGAATAATCCATTTTTGAGATCACACCTAATTTTTCTAGTCTGTCCAATTCATTAATAATTGTATCTAAGGCTGCAAAAGGTACACTCCTTTTTGGCTTAAATGTCAGTGTTACATTCTCTTAACTCAAACTTAGATTTTGCTTTCGTGCATGTCCCTAGACCTTCTGAGAAAACTTCTGGAAAACTTTTTCAATTCATTTTTTAATTTTTCAGTTGCCATATTAGTACTGGTTGTAACAATATTTATCGTGTTGCAGAAATAGTTAATTGGAAGGCCCCAAAAGATCAAATAATGCAATCCAGTCTGTTCCAAACAAGTTAACAATATTCTTTAATATAAACACCATTGCTTTTTGGGGTTTTCCCCCACAAAAGAAATGTTACAACTGAATTCACCAAAAAGTTCAATCTCTTTCCTGAAACTCCATGTGCAACTTTATCAGACATGAATAAACTGTGTTTACTTATTTTTCTCCATATCTGTTCATTTATGATAGTGATATCAGATCCTGTATCTGGTTACAATTTTATTTTTACATCATTAATTTGCACAAAAACAAATTTCCTCTTTTGAGATATCTTGTTAATTTCCCTTTTAAGCTTCTTATCTTCAATCCATGTATTTATCATGTTCACATAAAAAAAAAAAAAAATGAAGAAAACAGAAAATGTATCTACAACACATACTTTTGTGTCCTAATCTCCTACATTCATAACATTTTTTTGTTCTTGAAAAACAATCACTTTTAAAATGCTTACCTCCACAACCATGACAAGTATTAGGTATTGAGGAGGTTTTATCTTATTTCTCCTGTTCTGTTAGGAGTTAAAAAACATTTGTAGTTTTTCCTCTTAGATGGTTGGACACTGTTTTATAATTATAATTCAATAGGATAGTTCCTTAGCACTGCAGTCTATTTGCTGTATGTTTGGGAACTTTTTTTTTTATTATATCCATATATGAACAATAATGGACGATGGTCTGTCTGTAGTATGAATTCTCTACCATGTATGAATTTGTGAAACTTTTTCATAGCAAATATGATGGTGTGAATTGTCTTTTTCTTCAATCCTTGCAGTATAGAATTTCAAATTCACAATACGTTGGTATTCTTCCACTATTTTCTAGACTGTTAATTTGGAATCCATTTCTAATTCTGCAAATATCTTGGATCTTATCTCCATGTTCTTATTAGAAGTTAAGCCCTGTACAAATATCAGGCATTTAAATAAATCAGGAGTTAGTTCATTTAACTTGAACTTTTCACATCCTCAGACTTTACTAAGACATTGCCATTGTGTATTATATAATGAACTCCTATCACCAAAAATCTGATAGTATTAGAACAGTTTCCTCTTGTAATTGCAGTTCAGTTTGTTGTTCTTGTTGCTTTTGTAGCACAAACATTTCAAACATAATAGCTTTTAATTCTTCCATTTTTCTGTACTCTGCTGAAAGAAGCCTTATGAAGTGCTCGCGAATCTTTGTCACCACTTTTGTGATATCAATGAACACTTGTTGTCACTTTTGTGATTCTCATTGTAGTAGAGACATTGTAATCACTGTTGAGCAATGCCGGTGTAAGATGCCTTTGAATAGCACTCGCACTAATAGCACTTTCTTGATAATACGTGCTTGAATAGTAATAAAGGATAGGCTAGAAATAGGGATCAATTCGACACACACTACCCCCCCATATATGGGGGGGTAGTGTGTCCGTGAATGGTCCGTGATGCGGTGCGTCAACAGGAAGAAGCCGGCTCAATCCGCCCAGGGTGAATGCCGCATCAAGACAAGAAGACAAGACCCCCCCCATATATGCAATTCCTCTATGGTCATGTGATCCACTTAATTCAATAATGGGATCATCTGTGTTTACTCTCTGGTGATCTATATTCAAACTCGAGTGTTGGCAGTGACACTTTATTCCTATAAAACACATTCGTTGTCTGTTATATTTAACAATATGTTTGATGATCTGCTGTCCCAATACACTATATATATATATATATATATATATATATATATATATACACACACACACTCAAAAAATGAAATTATCAGCATTTTCATACCTCTCGTAATTTCTTTGTCTTTTCCTTCTGGTTCATTTTCTCATCAGCAACAATACTCTTCAGCAAATCTCCAAGAGCGTCTGTTGAATGCCGAATAGCTTCCTTTTCATAAACTGCCACTGGTACCTGCTTACAGTATGTTGTGGCTCCTTTGTCATCTGATGTATACACAACCTATAGTAGGCAAGAAAGAGAGAGAGAAATGAATAGCTTATCTCACTTGTAAAACTTATAAGAAATAAGGCATTCAAAATGTACTAAACTTTATATAAAATCTTGAAGCTATTTCCACATGAACTAAATTTATTGCTAACATTATTCAAACTATTCCAACTAAATATGATTAGATATGACAACAATGGTGTTGGATTCTGTTTTAATAAGCCATTGTGAAGCTGTTACATCAAGTAGAAGGAAAAAGTCTTTGTGATTATTTTATAGCTATCATAACATCACTATTGTTTTAAACATTCAAATATTAATAATTTGGGACAATCTTTCACTTTTAGAATTTTTCAGCTATAAACTAAGTTAAAGAGATTTTTTAAACTTTAAAATTGTTTACTGAATTATTTTATAACAATTTTCTTTTCATATATGCATCTATTTATACAAACAACTATTATTATAGACATCTGGTTTAGTATCTGCCACCCTCCCAGAATAGAATACAAGCAAGATAATTGGAGGTTAAAAAAAAAAAAAAATGCAAAGTCATTTTAACTTTAATGCAATAAGAACTTTTGCCACAAAAATATTTAGCAACAATAAGTAATATTTTTTATCATTTAAAATTCTCACCAATAAAAATTTAGAACACTAATTCTAACTGATATTACCAATCCAAAATTGAAGTAAATAAATGTCAAACCTTTTCATAAATAATAAAAGAATAATTGAATGAACTCAAGTTTGTATGTTAAATAATAAATCAGCAGAGAATATTTACTTGTGATGACAATTTAGTTTGTTAAAAATAAAATAAAAATCAGAAAGTATATAAATTCTATAATTTCTTGAAATAAATTACAAATATTAATAACAACTAGTTTTCATTCAAGACTGAAGGCAAGAATTTGCAAAGTGAACTTTGTAACAGATTTCTTTTAACTTTTTCATATTAAATTTTGAAGTATAAAAGGAAAATTAAACATTTATTTCAATATTCAGTTAGCATCAGAGGAGGATTGTTCTGAATCAATTCACTGTAAAATAGTTTAAGATTTGCTAACAATATATATAAGTGGAGACTGAAGTAAACATCAGGTAGTGAGAGTCTGTTTCATAATTGAATGTAATCTTCAGACCATGACTGATATTTAAAATACTATATATATATATATATATATATATATATATATATATATATTATACACACAAAGGAAGGATTATAAAGTAAATGCATTATTCAAATGCACTGAAATCCTCAGTAATGTAAACAATTTATTGGGTTAAATAATTATATGATTAGTTAATCCTTTAAACAAAGGATCATCCTTTCAAAGACATTACATTCAATAACATACACTATAGAAGAATTTATTACACAGCTCAATGTTTTCATATTAAAACTGTCAATATTTTTAATATTGATAAATATTATAAACTGAAATTCACATAGTATATTTATTAGAAATAAATCCTTAAAATTTAAACATTAAATACAAATTTTATTGCAAAAATATTGACTTGCATCATAAAATCTTACCCCATATAGAACGATCTTTGCAATTAAGGTAAATGCTTGTGAATTAGGATTAAAAAAAATATCAGCAATTTGCAAATTTTTACATAAGTACAAAATTGTTCTCCATTTACATTATAAATAGATATGTATCTACTATATAAATATTATATTTCAATAAAAATGATTTGCTCAGTATTTTTATTAACAAGCAAAAATGTAAATATACAAAGAAATAGAAATTTAGACATTAGTTGATATTAATAATGATTGCAATTTTTTTCATTTAATATATATATATAAAATCAAGATGAAATTTTATAGTCAGGCAACATAATATAAAAACCAAATGTACTGTATTTAAAAAGGCTAATATTGAAATATTAATAGATTTTATTTAATGTTTATTTTTAAGATTAAAGAATTTATAAAATTCTGAAGTATTTCATCATCCCAGAAAAGTTGCTATTGACACTGGAAAAATCACGATTACATTAAATTATTTTGAAAGGCCTGATATTACTCTCATTATAAGAAAAAATAAAAAAAATGTTTCCTTATAATCAATAATTGTGTAAACCTAAAATAATTCTTTATGTCAGAAAGTTTTCAAAAGAGGAAATATGTCTTTCTCTTTGGGCTAGCATGCTCATCTTGGTTGTTATACTCACAATGTTTCGACTGTTGTACCCTCTGGCCTTCAGATGATGGATTGTCATATACTCTGGTTAAGTAGCAGAAACAGACAAGTGACATAAAAGATCAGTTAGTATTAACAGATAAAAGATATCCTACAAATATGCAAAGTGGGATGAGAACCATATAACCCTGTGTATTGAATAAAGAGTTTTGCTTAAAATTATGAGAAGGTTACCAAGTACAACAGACGCCTGAAGAAGGTCAGAGAGTAAAACAGCCGAAATATTGTATGCACAACAATCAAGATGAGCAGATTGGGCAACAAACATATCAAATAAAATAATTCTGTATATCTGTTTGTAAAATTCTTTTCTCCATTAAAAAAAAAAAAAGAAAAAAAAGAAAAAAAAAGTGAAATTTTCTATGCACATGCGAAGCTAATATAAAGTGAAGCAATATGATAGACAAAGAGCCTTTAAAGTTTTTAAAAAGGTTGTTAACCTTAAAGGCTACCTTAAGATTTTGTTTAAGCATTTCAAGTATGTGACATTCATTTTTAAACTATAAACAAAAATGTCACTTGTTTCAATATATTTGCAGCCTATTCTATATTCATTAAGCAATTGATGAATAGAAAAAATACTTTACACATATTTATGTGATGAATGTAAAATATTTTTTTCTGTCAAAAGTAATAGCAGAGAGAGAATTAGTGCATGTTATCACAATTCCTTTTAGCCAAGTTTATACTGATTTGTGTCACCTTCTATAATAAACAATTGATAAAAAACTATCATTAGTAAGTTTTTATGATTATAAAAATTCAATGACATTTACCAAACTATTTTAAATGAAATTGGAAGATTCTTCAAAAATAGTATAAAGCTGATAAATGCAAGTAATTATATCAAAATGATGTTTTAACTGTTTTTAATCTATATTTAATTTCAAATTCGATCAACCAATTTTTTTAAGAGAATTTCTTGAATTTCTAGAAGCTGACTGGATGAAGGAAGGTATGATTTTGCAGACATTTCAAAAGAAAGGTTGATATTATCCAAAAGCAAAGTTCTATGATGAATGTATATGAAACATGGATTATTGAAGTGGATGGGAAAAAAGATATAAAGTGGAAGGAAAAAAAGGCCAAACTTTTTTTTTTTTTTTTTTTATAATCACATGAAAAACAATGTGTACAAAATTAAAAAAAAAAAAAAATTTTTTTCTATCAAAAATCACTGAACAAAGCTTTTATCAGATTGTGGCAGAATGCAATATTTGTAAAATGTAGAAGCAAATGTTAGCTAAATTCAGTAAATGAAGTGCTGTCATGCAGCAGTTTGTAGGTACATAAATAACAAACACATTTGTTTTTATTAAATTTTTAATTCAATGAATAAAATTTGCTTTTTGACAATTTTGAAAAGTATACAGCAGAATAAATAAAAATCTATGAATTTGCAAACATCATAATAAATAACTGGCATGCAGATTAGGAATATTCAGCAATCTACATTTAAAAAAAAAAATCCCCATAAAATATTCTATATGCCAAAATCACGTTACAGTAAAATAAAAGCATGCAAAATACAAGAACGAGTTTCAATCATTTAAATTTTCTCCATTTGGCAGATTTAACAATGTTTTGTAAAATAGGAAATGCAGCATTCAATCACAGTGTCAATATTTTAAAAAATTATTTATATTAAAAATGTCTGTCATGAAAAAAAAAAAAAAAAATAAAATAAAAAGGGAAGAGAAACACTTTTATATCAAAATTGATTGAAGAATAAAAGATTAAAAAATATGGAAAAGTTCAATGATATTATCCATTATATTATGATTTAATATTTAGTGTTGGATGTCTGCATTAGATTTTTTCTTACTGTCTGCTTGCAAATAAATATTTAATATTTTCAATGAATTCTTATGTAGATGGACATGTTGTATCATAGATACAATAAAGAAAAATTCTGCCATAAAGGCATACAATCCATAGCTTTGGTTACTTTAACAGAAACAAATCAGTCTCATAAATATAGAGGCTAAACAATTAACTTGTTGGTTAAAATTACTTTAATTCACTTTGCATTCAACTTTCCTGTATTATGTAAATGGATCTGTACATGTATTTTTTAGTCAAAAAATGAACACTGTCGAGTAACACTTTGTTAATTCACAACATGTCTTTGTAGAACATAGAAAACAAGTAAAAAAATACAATATGGCATTGAGGTCTGTTGACTTTATATAAGCTCAGATTTAAAAATAATGAATTTTCAACCTATAAGTGAACTGACATAAAGAGATTATTAATATGGAATTTGTGTAAGAAAGTAATTTTTTTTCAGTTATTAATAGACTTTTCTTAATTTGTTATAAATTATAGCAAAATTGATCAGATAAAATACAAAATCTTCCTTCTGCCAGAAAATGCTTTGATGCACTTTTACAAGCAGCCACAGGCAAGAGACAAATCCTGAAAGGCTGCTTGATATTAACCTCAATTAAAGACTCAGAATACCATCTTTAAATGATACACCCTACTTCAGGTGATTGCCTAAATTGAGAAAGAATAATAAAGTTTTATTTTGCTGACTTGTATGTACAGTTGGCTTATTCGTATAGACATACTAAATGCTTATATTTTATATCAGACCAAGGAAGAGACAGAAATCCAATTAAAGTCAAGTTTTGCTACAAATCACAAAACATCACCAAACATAGATATGGATATTTTATGAGATTGAAATTCAGCTTGAGAATTGATAGAATTTAAATGATGGAATAAATGTAAGGATGTATAATTGATAGATTAAGCATGATAAATGGAGTAAAAAGAAATGATTATTTGCTTTAGAGGAAAAATTTATGCTGTAAAAATATGTGATCAGAGACTAAACATAAAAGAAAAAGAAAAACCGTGTGCAAAAAGTGAATAAATAGGGACATCAAAAATCTGAATTAATGTGTAATTATCAAGGTAAAAACAGATAACTGTTTGCATTAAATATATTGCATGAGACCGATGCAAATAAAAAAGAAAGCAGAAGGTCATAATGTGAAAGCTCGGCTTAGAAATAATTTCAAGTATAAAGAGATTATCCAAGTTTTAATAAACAATAAATCTATACTTGGTATAAGATTACCACTTAAAAAAAAAAAAATTAAAAAAAATCATTAAATGACATTTATGTCTGTAAAAGAATAAAAAAGTATATGTATGATATGTTTTTAAATTTTTTTGTCTGCATGGAGAGAGAGTGCTCAGTATCAGAGATAGCACATTTGCAGATATTGAAGACACAACAATGTTGATTCCTATGTCCACACTCTCTTATAATATATTACTTTAAAAATTAGGAGATCAGTTGATTCCACTACCTTGGCTCCAATCTTACGCTATTCTCAGGCAATATATATATATATATATATATATATATATATATATATATATACATATCCAAATGAATATTATATAATATGATTATGGATGCATTAAAAAAAAAAAAAAATATCACATAACATTATAATAATGAGAATTATTTAATTCATAAACTTTAATGCAATGAATACTAAGATGTTTAAGATGTCATTAATTGAAAAAGCTTATGTGATTTCTATAGATATTAAACAGTCATAGTTGTGACAAAATTCATCAGAAATTTTGTTCAACAGCAAATAAAAGTAGGAATTTCAAATCATTGTAAATTATTTCTACTTTTTTACTTCATTAATTTCATATGTAAAAACATTTTGGAAATAAAAATTTTCCCTTCATCTTTATCATACTTTCCCCATTCTATAAACTTATGAAGCAGCTAATTAAAAAAATGTGTGTGTATATATATATATATATATATATATATACACACAATTCATAAATCTTTGAGATCTTCATTGTATTTACATTACAATAAAATAATATTCAGACAAAAAATAGAAAATAAAAATTGCTCTACAATATTTCTAATTACCTTAAAGAATTTCTGACACTATGCCAAATTATATATATATATATATATATATATATATAAAGCTACACTATAGTATTAAATTACTAAATAAATCTAATGAACTTCAGGATAATTAAGGAATATTCTTGAAACCAACCAACTCAGGAGGTAACTGACAATTGCTAGGTGGCATCAATATTCCTTGAATACCATAATAAAAGGAATAAATAATGATTGACAAAAATGAAAAACTTTGGAATAAAAAAAAAAAAAATTCCAATGTGTTGTACTTTTTATGACAGATTAAATTACAAATGCCTTACCAAATTTTCATTTTTGCAATTTTGATGTCATAATATAACATTTGGACATTCAATACTTTTATTTTTTATGCTAGTATAATTATCTTAAAAGAGTTTATTAAATGTTTTGTTTCCTTCCACAAACTTTTGCAGAAATCTTTCAAAACAACTATATTTTGTCAATTCCAATTGAAATAAAAAACTAAATTTGAAAATGTCAAAACTCTGCTACAAGCAAAATACAAACAGGTTTGGAAAAAAAATATTAATTTGGGGAACTGAAATCAAATTTATTAATATTATTATGATGATAATGACAACAGGAAAATGATAAGATTTGATTTTGACATTTTCAATATTGCAATATTTAAAATTTATGAGGGTTAAAAAAATAAGATAAGATAAAAGTACATTCCCATTAATTTAATTAGAGTCAATGTTTAGCAATAGTTGTAAATCTACTATGTTGTGAAAGAGTGCTGAAAAATTCTCAGCTCATTCCACTTAATATCTGACCAAAAAGACTAAATATCATAATTTTTTGTAAGGGCTTCTTGTCCAAGCCAAGAACATTGATTGAATTAGTAACCAACTTAATATTTAGTAACTATGTAAAGAGACATGAATGATAAAATCCAGTATTGTGGAAGTTAAGGAATATACTGAATGCTAATTTCAAAAATATATTTTTTCTATTCTATTCTTAAAGATTTATAAATATATTCAATTATTTTTGTTGGAAGCAAAAAAAAAAAAAATTGTTAGAGAATCTATTGCTAATATACAAGTAACAAAAAGTAATAATGAAAAGAAAAATCTCAGTTAAGCATTAATTTTTTCCTAAATTCATTTTGACTTCAAATGCAAAAAGATTTACGAGTTATGATCACGTATTCAGTCATCAATAATGTTTACCTGTACACGCTGCAATTGAGAAAGACGATCCTCCACCTGGCTGCGCAGGTCAGAAGGAACTTGCATCACAATGTCATGATTCTCAATCAAGTATAAAACCAGATGTTTAGCAAGGTTAATGTCCATGTCTGAGGAATCAGGACTGCAGATGATCGCTTGATAGAATGTATCAATAAGCTAAAAAAAAAAAAAAAAAAAATACTTGTAATTAATTAATGGAAAATATTAAAGCTTTACAGAAACATAGTTCAGAATGCATTTTTCATCAGTTGACACATATTTTCATTCTAATTATAAATACATTATTTGAAATTCATTCTGTAATATATTGAATGAAGAAGAAACTTACAAAAAACAAAGATGAATTACAAGGTTCTCACAAATTTGCGTAAAAGAAAATTCCAGGACTTTTAAAGGACCGAGACCGGTGCATATACACACATGAAATGAATAGTCATCAATTTCAAAAACTTTGTGATTTATCTTTTAAAATAGTTTGACATGAGATGTTCAAAGAAAAGCTACAGCTGGTTCCAATAATTCATGTCACATGGATCAGTTTGAAAGCAGTGAAGAAATCAAAGTTTTGAACTCTAAAACACAACTGAATTGCAGACTTGGTCATGTTACACATTTTGTGTAGCATTCTACACACTTTGGAGTTCTACTACACTTGAAAATTTTGGATTACACACTTTAATTCTTATTGCTACACATTTCAGATATCTACTCATGGTTTGTGAATGTCACAAAAATTCTGACTGCTGTGCATTTCCTGTGAAGTTAAGTATAATGGTTTTAATGTACAGAACTACAAATAGAAGTTTTCACAAAAGGACTACACATTTTAGCTACCCCTACTATTCATGGCCTTTGTTGCACATGGCACACAACACAATGTTAACATTATTTCAGTTCATCTAGTTTAGCATTGAGCTCCTCTTCCAATTTTGATATCTCTATAGATTTTTTTTTTTTGCATATTTTCATATGGCATTGGAATTTGTGATAAGTGTGAAGTTTTGAGTCTGCTCAGTTTTCTCCGCATGCTGATTTGCTTAAGTCAGCCGACTTGAGCAAATCTTGTATGCAACTTTCAAGCTTGTGTTTTTTGGTCTCCATTTCTTCAGTTTCCATAAGCATGGATTTCCATTTTTGTCCAGCTACTCCTTGCCTTTTTCTCAGCTTCAAGGTATTGGCTGTATACTGTTCTGGCATTGGAAGCACAACAGAGAAAAGCCTTAGTCATGGGAACATTCCCAACACCTCCAACTGTGGCTAAATAGTCTGTGATAATGCCACTGTGCAACCAGTCTGCTATTTCATATTGCCAGTGGAAATTTCCTTATTGACTGAGAAACCTCTTTCTACTGAGACCTGTCCATGAGAGAGTATCAGCAATCTGTTAACTTTCTACAGCTTTTGACATTCTTTGTTGCTAGATAAAGAAGAGTAGAAGAGCAGCCACCTCCACAAACTCTCTGTACTGACTGAAAATTGCCACAATCAAACTTACCGACATGTTTTGTATCCATCATAAGGGAAAGACATTTTTTTAGACTGTCTTCTGTGGTAAATCTTTTTTTCACAAATGGATCCAGGGTTCAGCCAAGCAAGTGACCTTACAAAAGAGGTATCTAAGAGGAGACTTTACTAAAAGTTTCTCAATGGTGGTGATGAACATTGTTGCAATTCTGCAATCAAAGATCTTTTGTTGACACATTTCCTTTTTTTACATTATCTGCCAGAAATCCATACTATATTTTGTAGCATCTTTATACATGTTTGGGTGTGAAAAAATTCATACAAATTCATTCAGTTTGGAAAATGTAATTATCTTTTTCATGTGCTCTTCTTTTACAAATCTTAACAGTATCATGATCATGCTAAAAAGATCATCTGCAAGGAAAAGAAGCAATGGCTTATTGTTCTGATATTTTATCAGAAACGGTTCAATGTCTTTTGAACCAAACACAAAAATTTGCATTAAAAAACATAAATACATCATTCATGTTTGACAGCAGCGCAGAGAAGGACTTGTTCTGGGGGTACATTTTCTGTTTTTTTTATTGAAGTTAAAAAATTTGATGACATCTGGCCTAAAGCCTAGGAGTCATTCACATGTTTGTACATTTTTTAGCCATCTATGGAATGGCTAGAAAAAGTAAAAGTAAAGGGACAGGGTTGACAGATTAAACTTTTGATGTAAAGCCAAGCAATATAAAAGCCAAATAAGTTTTAATATATTTCATCATTTTTTCACACTTACAAAAGCTAGAGGTCATTATTAACCTGCAAACTTTAAAAGTAACATTTTCCTTATTTTTTTTTTCAAAGACAGATTTTTTATGCTTATCCGAAGACACATCAAAAGGCACATTCTCTATTCTATCATCCTTCCCATCTACATTTTCTTTCAGTCAAATTTGATGCTCACACACACTGACACAGAACACAAAGTATCTATTTTTTCACCTACTGCTGACAAGAGATCAAAAGGACTTTTTACTTTTGAAACTGTCCGGTGAATAAAATTTCTTCAATTGTTCAAATTTTAAAAAACACTGATAAATTTTTCGAGAATCTACTAAAATGTATTTTATTACTTTAAAATAATTTACTTTAATAAAATTAAATGAGTATGAATTAATATATCTTTGACAGAGATGTTTACTTGTCTGACACCTTTTATATTTGCTTTGCCTCTTTTCTTGTTAAGAAGCTAGAAGACACACTTTCATATTCTTTCTCCCTTTCTTTCTCATCAGCCAAAGGAGAAAATACAGAATGACCTCGTTCTAATCAAGGAAACTAGCAAACATTTGCAATAATTGCCAAATATTACTGACTAATAAAAATAATTTTAGCTTGTAAAAAGAATAAAAGATAAAAAAAAAAAAAAAAAAAAAAAAAAAAAGCCATATTTATAGAGGGATATGTGGGCAGCCTAATTTAGAAAATTCCAAGACTTTTCAAGAAGCTTTTGGGATTGATGTAATGGAATAACCTGCCCCAATGAGTGGTGGCACTATAGGTGGTAACCACCTATAAGTATCCATTAGGATAGTGGACAGGAGAGTCGAGCTGGGATTTGCGAGAACTAGCTGATTTCCGATAGCAGCACACACAATTGTACTGATTTGCGATGACTGTGCATGTAACTATTACTTCCTTGCTTGTTGTACTTGTTTCTACAATAAACCTGTTACTGTTTATTCACCGTGTTTGTCCATTCCATATTCCAATTAGCACGGAATATAACAGGGCTACTGCTGTTTTTCCATGACTTTTCAAGCTCTGGAAAAGGCCCTGTCAATTTTCCATGATTTTTCAAGATTTCCAGGACCTGTATGAACCCTATTGTAGTATTAACAATTCAATTCACCTTATAAACTAGAACATAGAGATGCAAATGGCTGAGGAGTGCTCTTTGAAAAAAAAAAAAAAAAATCCATTTAAAATAAGGTTAAATGCTAAATTTATTTCACACCATGAGAATTATTTAAGAAATGTGATATTACTTATGAATCATTAATTTTACATTCAAATATTTTTACTATCAAGGACCAAATAAGTAACCACCATGAATCAGTGTAACATTCCTTTTATGTTTCACAATATCTTTTCTTTCTATCATAACATGTTAACTTGTCTCAGTGGTATTCACAAATTTTTTAGTATATCTGTTAATATGACATTGTTAGCTACTCTTTTTAGGAGCTCCTTGTTTGAATATGCAAATCAAGCAATCACTACATCTAGAAACACTGCAAAGAGTATTCCTTGCAGATCCTGTTCTTCTTCCATACACAGTTTCATTTTTAACATTTCCCTTGCTTCCCTTTTCTTTAATGCATTCCTGAGAGCTTAATGCATTTCTTTCCCCTTTAGAGATTTCAATCATGCCCATCCTACATTGTGTACTCAGGATAGTCTTTTTCGATCGTTTCAGAATTTTCTTGGATCTGTTGATCACCCATAGCCATCTCTTCATTTCTTTAATTCTGTAAGACCAGATTTCAGTGTTAGTCTGCAAGATTATAACTGGGATCATTTATGAAAAGCTGTTTGCCCTTCTCATCATATTCTTTTCTGGACTTTATTTGATCTGCATTGGCTACTATGCTGTCCCCAGTTTTTTTTTTTTTGCTATAATCACCACATGTTATTATAAAATTAGTTCATTCCATATCCAATGCCTTATACTTTTTATGCCCCATTCTCTCATTTGCAGAATAAGGCAGTTAAAGGAGCTCTATTTTGCCTTCCCATTAAGGCTGAAATACTGAAGAGCCAATCAGCATGTGTTATGGTAAAGGAGGCACAGTGGAGTAATGGATAGTGGCTTGGATTTAGGAATCAGAGAAGTCCAGTCAGATCCATTACATTCACTTATGTGCTAATACACTTGGGTAAGGTATGAATCCTCTTCTTTTTTTCCCCCCAGCTATGGGTAAATAACAGAACAGCCTGATTTCTATAACCTTGGGTAGCAACTAGTCTAGGAGAAAGTAAGTCCAAATTCAAAACTGTATGTAGCCCCAGCATAGCACATACTATAAGCTCAAGAAAGGATCATTTGTATTGGAAAGACTTACTTTTCTCTCTGTTTTAAGAACATGCTTTTAATCCAATCTTTACTACTTGTACAATTCTTTCAGCTATACAGTTTGAAGGTGCTTTGTAAGGCATATATCCTATTTTTTCAGCCATGATACAAATTCTTCATTGCAAAATTCTGGAGCATTTTCAGATACCAAGGATTTTAGTATAACCATTTCTAGAGAATATGAAGTGGTTTTTACAGCATACCTCCTTTTGTCAGTCACATTGATTACAGATCATACTGAAAACATGGCCCATATAAATGCCATGTCAATGTTCTGTTTGGACGAAGAATGTCATTTATTTTGTTTAAAGTTTCTCAATTCTGTACATCTTGGATATATTTTAATATATTCCTCCACATTATGCAAATATCCTGGCCAACAGGCTTCTAATTTTAATCTTTTTTGTGCAGCTGCTATTTGACAATGTACATTTTTTTTTTATCATAAGCTTTTTCTGTGTGTTGGAGGCTACACTAAATTGCCAAACAAATTACACTCTTCTACTTTTAGTTTTAGTCTGGTTTCCTAGCATAGTTTTTGTGCTCTAAAACAATCACCTCATATGTCCTTTCTAATCTTTGATGTTATTCTATTTAGTACAGAGTTTTGGATAGTTTCTGTAGCCAGTCTATCCAAATACAAGACATCAATATTGACCAGTGTTAAAAATAAAAACTTTCTTCAAAATTCTTCTAGATTCTCTTTTTATTCCCTTAAAATCATAATCTTGACAGTCCGTTCATATGTAGAATTTCCTTTGACAAATTCTATTAATTGTATTGCCCACCTTAATATTCTCAATGTTGTGACCAATTCATTTTTTGGATTGAATATAATGGTCTATGCTTAAATTTCAATATTTTAATTAAAAACCGATATGTTCTATTAGTTTCCCACACAGCAGCCAAAACCTTTCTCTCCATTTGAGTAAACTCAGTAATTGTCAATCTTCAATAGAAACATTATTGGCTGTTCTTCTTGTGACCTACTTTGTGGTCCAAGAGATTCTTCATTTTACATTAACTGCAAAACATCTCAGCCATATGTCCATAAAGTCCAAATTCTCGAGAAATAAAAATAATCCTATTGGCAACATCATTGTTGGGATATGTAAAATTGTATCTGTGGTATACACAAGTCTTTTAGTATATCTGCTAATGTGACATTGTTAACTAGTCTTTCTTTATATGCCACTTCTTTGGATATACAAATTGAGCAATGCAAATAAATTAGTACACTTTCCTTAGAAAGAGAGAAATAATGCGGAAAGCAAAAGAGTCTTACTAAAGTCTGTAAAGCATCTGGATTATCAGCAAGTTGCAATTCAGTATTTGCTTTCACTTTATTAAGGAACCGTAGCAAAAGGTGGAGCTTGCGTCTATTGGCTGGAGGTAGGAGCAGCAATACTAAACGGACAGCTTGTTTTACTCGTTCATCATCAGGCATTGGCCATGCACCTGTACAAAACAAAGGAAACAACCTCAATCTACTTACAGTTATGCATAATTTGATTTTACTTTTAACAAGATGCAATACCAACTTTTTCAAAATACATTTTCATGAAGAAAAAAAATCTATTAAAAATGCTTTATTTTATATTTAATAACATTTAATTGAAATTGCAGAAGATTATTTTAAGTTATCAAATTTGTGGAATAAATAAATTTATATCATTTATTTAAAATGTGAACTTAGAAAAGATAATCTAATCTAAATGCAATAAAAGAAACAAAGTATAGCAAATGCAAAGAGGTAAAAAAAAAAAAAAAAAAAAAAAAAATTATCATTAAGGTTTGGTTACTGCATATCAACCTCAATAGTCAATATCATTAAGATAATATTTTGTAGTTTGAACCACAATGCAATAAAACAGTACATTTGAATTTGGTATAAAAGATAAAATAAAATAAAATTTTGACATGATCATAAATTAAACAGACAAATAATGTTTGCTTATTTGATATTTGTATTATATGACATAAAAACATAAGACAAAAAAAAAGAACATTAGAAATATAAGAAAAAGTTAGAAAAATGTTATTCAAGTCAATTTCAAGTATGCTACTAGTTATTAAATGATAAACTAATCTACATAACATGCAAATACATACACAGAAAATACGAGGATTCAAGGGAGACTACTTTCAAGTAAATTATTTTCCTCCATTAATCACGTACAGGATTTGTGATGAATGGTTGTCAATATTAATGACTAAACTCGGTAATTATAATACTATCTACTTCAGTAAATTACTGGTTCCATTGATTTACCCACATTGCCTTTTTGAACTACTACTTTATATAAAAGTAATGCATGAAAAAACAATTGAGGATAAATTAATTAAATCGATGTTTTCTTAATTTTAACAGGCTACATAAATGAAAGTTTCAGAAATTCCTCAATACAGAATCAAACTCAATTTATTGTTTCCACAAACCGTGCATATTTTATTTAGATAAAGTAAAAACACTTAAAATTTGGACTGAGTAACAAGCATCTATAAATTTCATACATTACCATCACAATTCATGCAATTTACATGAAATTAAAAAAATATAAAAAATATTCAGAATCTATTAGAGATCTTTACGGGATATGGTTAGATTTTAGAATTGAAAAGCATAGGTGATATTATAAAATAGTGATAAACTTCAATTTCAAATTATTCACTGCAGAAATAAGAAATTTCATAATTCTGATGGAAATTTTACAAATTATATATATATATATATATATATATATATATATATATATATATATATATATATATATATAAACAAGATGAATTTACAACTCTAAAATGTAGAAGTTTATTTAAGATGAAACAAAGTTATTCAGATTAAAAGCAATATTGACAATTTTTCCATCTTCACAGGATGAATCCATTGAAATTAAGAGTTACATCTGAAGTACTTTAGTGTCATTTTGAATGGCATATTAGGCTAGTGTGTGATGTTTGACCAGATCAGGATCTGTTCAAAGAATATAATCAAATTACTTTCAAAACAAAAGCCAAGGACTGAATACTGATGTGTTGAAAAGTTTTAATTTTGGAACAATAATACTAAATTTAACATCTTGCCAGAGAAAAACTATCAGAAAAAAATGCAAGTGACTTTTAAGATTAGAAGACATCCTATGATGTTTCATTTGAGATGAATGTAGCAAATATGAAGTGGTGGTAAAAATAACAAATGAAAGAAGTCGTTTCTTACCATGGTAAGAAAGAAGTAGTTTCTTACCATGGTAAAAGTGAAAAGTATATTTTCAAGGAGCAAGGAAGATAATAGGGTTGACTGATTTCAAATCACAAGAGATTTTTCACTAAAACCATTTGTGATTAGAAGATTTCTAGTCAACACAAGTACACATAAAATTAAACAAATACAAAAAACAAAACAATTTGGTTTATTGTTGCTTTATATTCTGGCAAGGAATAATGAGAAAATGTATCAATTTGACAGTAAATATCTATAGACATGCAACAAAATAAATTTCAAAAAGTCTATAGAAAGACAAAAACATTTGTTTTTGCAATTTTTTTTCTCTCGAATCAATTGCCTGCATTCACACCTCATAAAATAATTGCATTAAAATCCAATTTTAGAAAATACTTTTAAATATTTTTGATTGTAAAAGCATTTGGAGACCGAAGGAAAATTTTTACTTTTATTTTTTTTTTTGTCTTCTTCAATTCAAGAGTTGCATAAAATACTTAAGACTATAATAGATGTTGAACTTGGAAAAAAAAATTAAATTTCCATACATTATTGAAATATAATTAGATAAGTAACAGAAAAAAAAAGTCTAAACAGAGTTCTATGAACAAAATTTTCAATCAATTGATATCCTTGCAACCAAGAGAACAAAGCATAACATAAGCACATAAATGATAATCACAAGTAACATTACTTACCTGATATTGTACTATATCGTTTTCGCCCATGTTTATCCAATGTTTCAACAGGGGAAAGGTTAGGGATACTTGAAGTACTATGCCGTCCATAAAGCAATGATCGTGCTGGTTGCCAAGAACAGCTATAAGAAGATGGGAGTGATCTCTCCTTGCACAGATGATCACAGCTAGTTTGTTTAGTAGAAACAGTGTTTTCAAAGTCAGGCTTGCTAAATAGTTTATGTTGACTAGATGAATCTTTGTAAGAGACTGAAATTGTATTTTCACTAGAGTTATTAGGAAATGATTTGTGTGTGCCATAAGAGTCAATGATTTCCAGTGTCTGACTATCCACGGTTTGGAGGTGTTGCTCTGAGTGCCATCGAGCAGGACTGTCTCTGATTTTCTCCTTGAAATTGCTTGAATATTCAAGATTGGAAACAGAAGGTAGACGAGAAAACATAGAGGCACTAAATGTGGTTGTATTTTGATTTGGATAATAGTAGACATTAGTGACAGTTTTATTTTCAGGTCCAAAAGCAGTTTCATACCTAAGAAGTGGGATGCTGCCAGTTGATTCACATTTCTGTTTACTTCCTGATAATCTACTGAGTGAGCGTTGCTGATGACACAGCTCTGAGCTTACATTCTCCTGGTCAAAAAGCACTCGGGAATAAGACTTCTTAGAACAGTTAGAAGATGATTGGTGACCATTAGCAGTAGTCATATTCAAAAGGAGGTTGTCAATGGAACCAAATGAAGTCAAGCTAGGTATACCAGAGCCAGTGGATAACGGAGATGAATGCCTAGCATGTCTTGTATCAGCCATCACTATAGGTAATACATGGAATGCAATGATGGTTTTAAAAAGTCATGTAATATAATGCATG